TTGCCGAGAGAGAGAGAGAGAGAGAGAGAGAGAGAGAGAGAGAGAGAGAGACGAGATGAGCGTGAGGAGAGAGAGAGAGAGAGAGAGAGAGAGAGAGAGAGAGAGAGAGAGAGACGAGATGCCTACCTGCTGTACAGGAACACCTGGGGAGACAGTATTGCTCAGGACAAAATCCGATTTACATCTTCGCTATGATTCTTTACTGTATAGGTTTGTACACAATTAATGTGAATCGATCCCAGCATAACTTTGTGTTTCTAATAAAGGGGATGTAGGAAAAAGAGATCACATTATTCTTTTGGGGTTCCTAGTGCTTAGGCTTTTCGTAAGATTCCTTCCTTCCTTTATGAAAACCGGAAATGCTGTATGATATACACATGTACAATGTATAATCTGGTATGAGTATGATTTCTAGATAAATGGTTGATTCAGAAAGATTAGCTGTCAAGTAAACATTCATTCAAAGATACTTTATTTTTTAAAGATTTTATTGGGGAATTGGGGATGGGTAACAGCATTGGGGAATCGGGGAAGGGGAACAGACACGTAGACAAATTGCTGTTTTTGTTCTTCAGTCTAGTTGTGGAGGACATCACTTTACTGGCCCATGTTGATATGATCATTGTGCTCTTCCCGGGGGGAGGTAATCGGTTGCCAGTCGTTGGTTGGCCACTCACAGCGGCTCCTGGTAGCTCACACCGGCTACCAGCCGCTCACGCTGGCTGCCAGCCACTCACGTAGCTCACGGCAGCCCACTGCAGCCCACTGCAGCCCTGCTGCAGCCTACACTGTCGCCAGCGACTCACAGCAGCCCAGCTCCAGGTCGAGCTGTTGTTCATCATCTTGGCTGTAGAGGGCCAGCATCACTGGCCCTCAATGTGGGATCCGAACCGCAGCCCTGCTGCTCAGAGCTTGCGCTCCCAAGCGAGCTCTTAACCAGCTGAGCCATTTGGCCGGCCCTGAAAGATACATTTTTGAATGCCTGCCATGTGCCAGGCACTGTTTTGGATACTGGAAATAGAGCAATGAATAAAGCAGATAAATCCCCGTCTTCACAGAACTTACGTTCTAGTGGGAGAGACAGACAACAAAGAAGATAAATAACAAAGATGTAGTGGGGCAAATGGTGACCAAGAGCTACGGAGAAAGAAACAGCAGGCAGGAGAGAGGGGGGTCGGGGAGTAAGAATTGTAGGCAGGCTGGAATTATATGTCTCTTCCCTCTCCCACTCCCACCCATGATCATGATTCAAAACCTAGTCACTTTTCTTTTTGCGTCCCTTCTAAATGATGTTTGGTCAGTTAGGCAAACAAAAGAAATCCATTATGTGGTTCATCAAAGCTTCTAATAATTTATTTCATGCTTCTGTCAGCCATATTTACAAAAAAATTCTTTAAAATATTGAAGTACAGGGCCGGCCGAGTGGTGCAATGGTTAAGAGCTGGCTTGGGACGCCAGAGGGTCCCGGTTCCGATCCCACATATGAGGGCCAGTGACACTGCCCTCTACAGCTAAGATGCTGAACAACAGCTTGACCTGGAGCTGGGTTGCTGTGAGCCGCCGTCGACGGGGGTAGGCTGCAGCCCCTGCTGCAGTGGGTTGCCATGGGCTGCCATATGTAGCCAGCAGCCAGCGTGAGCGGCCAGCAGCCGCAGTGAGCGGCCGCCCGAAGCCGGTGACTGATCTGCCTCGCCCGGGAAGAGCGCAATGATGGTGCCAACTTGGGCCAGTAAAGCAACGTCCTCCACAACTAGACTGAAGAACAAAAAGGACAGCAACTTGTCTGTTCCCCTTCCCCCAATTCCCCAGCGTTGTTCCCATCCCCCAATTCCCCAATAAAAATCTTTTAAAAAAATAATAAAATAAAATATTAAAGTACAGACATCATCCTTATCTGATAGCCTAATCTTACAATCTTTTTAAAACAATAAATCTTAATAAATACATAAATATTTAAAAATCCAAGAGATTAAACTCAGCTCATGTTAATTACCCATGTCATTCAATGAGTACACTATATTACCTAAAAAGATCAGCTGCTTTTGAAGCTGAAAGAATAAATCAAAGCTGTGTTATCAAAATGGATTTGAAAATGACTATTTTCTCCTCAATATTCATGTAAAAAGTAAATGTTGAGAGGGCTGAGACCTGAAGCCTTAGGCCAGTTTGATTCTGATTTTCCTACACAGAGAAAAGACAAACATAGGCATCCCAGCAGCAGCTCTGATCCCCAACCCAGAGGCTCTGAGAAGTTGTTTACTCTTTTGGGCTCAGTGCTGACGTCCGCTCACTGAGTAATGTCATCAGATTTCCTGGTGGCGGTTATTTTGGGGGGGCCGTGGTAAGTAGTTGTCCGGCTCTGCTGGGACATGGCTCGACAGAGGTCCTGAGAGCCGGATGTATCCCGTAGACAGGATGTAGGGTTAAAATGCAGTCTCGTTAAGTAAATACAGTGCGTGTCCAGTGGTAAAACAGAACTGCCGAGACAGTGATGTTTTAAAATGATACTGCTAAAATTATACCAAGGTAAAAATTCATAACCCTTAAAAAATTAATCTAGGGCTTCTTTTGTTTCTTAAAATTAGTGCAATGGTGAGTTACTTTTGAAAGCTGAGATGTAGTTACGCTGTCCTTTGTAAAAGTTATTTTACCACTTTTGGTGTAGACCGTGTATCAGAGTTGTTTTCCCAAAAGGGATGAGGCTTTGGCCCTGAGGCAGCCACACTTTTCTCCCTCAGCTTGTGACCAACACTATACACATACACATATCTATATTTTTTTTAAATGACGCTAGTCATTAACATTTAAAAATTTTATTAATTATTGCCTTCAACTTTCTTTTTCTCTTCCTGGTTTCCTTAATTTTGTACTGCTGACTTTCTGAAACTTAGTGACTTGAAACCTTATTGACTTAATTCTTGTTTCATGACAAAAAGATTTAAGACTATGAATTTTGTGAGTAAAATTTAGCAGTATCCTGTTTTCCTTCTCTTTCCTTTTCCTTTCGTTATCTTTCTCTTTTTCTTTCTCCTGGTAGTGCCACTGTATTCCCCCAAACAGTAGGCCTATACCATTCCTTGTTCTTTCATTCATTCATTGCTTTAAACTTTGTTCAGAAAAAACAACAAAAAACTCCTCGTTCAGAGTGGCCCTGTTAGTGCCTCTTGCTGACCTCCTCTGTGCGCTGTGGGAATGTGATTATATAAACCAGATCTCCCTTAGAAGACTCTCCCGGCCCTCTTGAGTCATCTTCCCTCTGAGGTTCTGGCCTTGGCATCCAGCCATGCCTCTCACCATGAGGCTGGCCTGTAGCCTCAAGCTCAGGGGCTGGGGGATGCCGTGGGAGTCTGTTCTCCCCACCCTCCCACCCTGTTGCAGTCCCCCTCCTCATTCTGAGGTCTGGAATAGTGGTGATGCTCTTTCCTCTTAGGCTTCTTGAGAGACAAAACTGCTACAAAGTGAATCAGAAACTGAGCCGGTGTTCCATGCTTAGTAGACATCAGCTTAAAAATATACATGGACTTCCCCCATCACTCAGCAAGTTTCATCCATGTGTTTACAGTGGGATGGGTCCTTCCCTGAGGGGGAGGTTGGAGGTGGGCAGCAGCTGGGCAATGTCTTGTGGGAAGGCTCACAGGTCCCATTCTTCCACTGCTGTGTTCTAGTTACGGAGTCACACTGTCACCAGAGGCCCAGCGGAGGGAGGGATGCCGTCAGCACATACAGTATTTCCAGGGAAATTGCAAACTATGTCCCTTCCTCTGTGTAGTGACCCGGCTCCAGAGTTCATCCCTAGGTGCTGATTTCAGCCCCACATTCTCCCTCCCTTGGACTCTTTTGTGCAGCACACACACCGCCCAAACCCTCCAGGGGCCCTGGGTTTGCAGCCCAGGTTGTAGAACTAAACAGACTGGTCAGTGGGATCCTAGCTGCCACATGCTGGCTGTGTGGCCTGAAACCAAGGACTTGGAACCTGTTTTCCAACTGCGAACCCTGACCACGTGGCTGTGAAGATTCATTGAGGTAACCACGTGTGTTCAGCCCTCAGCACCGTGCCAGGGATAAGAGTGTGCCAACTGTTTCTCACAGAGGTTTCTTTGGCTGAGGTCCCATGGCTCCAACTGCTGGATTTCATTATTTCTGTGCCATTTTATTTTATTTTTTAAAGATTTTTTATTGGGGAATTGTGGGATGGGAACAGCGCTGGGGAATTGGGGGGAAGGGGAACAGACAAGTTGCGGTCCCCTTGCTCTTCAGTCCAGTTTTGGAGGACATCGCTTCACTGGCCCAAGTTGGCACCATCATTGCACTCTTCCCGGGCAAGGCAGATCAGTTGCCAACCTCTGAACGGCTGCTCATGGTGGCTGCTTGGCCGCTCACGCTGGCTGCTGGCTACACACGGCAGCCCGTGGCAACCCACTGCAGCAGGGGCTGCAGCCCATGCCGTCGTCGGCGACCCACGGCAGCCCAGTTCCAGGTTGAGCCGTTGTCCAGCATCTTAGCTGTGGAGGGCAGTGTCACTGGCCCTCACATGTGGGATCCAAACCGCGGCCCTCTGGTGTCCCAAGCCAGCTCTTAACCAACGCGCCACTCGGCCGGCCCTCTGTGCCATTTTAGATGTAAGGTTTCATTGTTCATCAGGGGAAGATAGAAGTAGGCATGGGAAGGACCAATGTTCATTCAGTATCGAATCTTTACAGGCTCTTTATATTGTAGTCTCGTTGGATCTTTGGAACAAATGAGAAATTGAGGCTGAGGGAGGCTGAGTAATTCACTTAAAGTCACACACAGCTTGGAAAAGTGAAGCTGGGACCCAACTCATCTTATTTCCCCCTCCCTGCCCTCCACCTTTCCTGGGATTCCTCTGACTAATAACCATTTACTTTATGTAATTTTTCTCTAGAGTTGAAATTGCACTTTCATCTGCGGCTATGATTGGAGAGAAAATTTTAAGCAAGCTTACTTTTTAAAAAATATTGAAGCAAATCTCTTTCTTGCAGGTAGCAGTAGCTGATGTGCAGTTTGGCCCCATGAAATTCCAAACAGATCAACTCCAGGTAACAAGAACTATGCTGTGATTTTCACATGTTGATTTTCTTTAAAGAGGGCAGGAAGAGAGCCTGAAGTTACACATGGAAAATAGTGTCCTATTTCAGATAATAGTACTGGTGATGTAGTTACGTAAGAGAATGCACCTTTCTTAGAAATACACACTGAGGCATTTAGAGTTGAAGAAATGTCTGCAACCTACAATAAAAAGTGTATAGTGTGTCTGTGTGTGTCTGTGTGTGTAGGCCGGGAGGAAGCAAGGAAAGGCGGCAAAATGTTAACAATTGATGAAACTGGAAGAAGGGTATCCTAGTGTTCATTGTCATTCGCAACTTTTCTGTAGGTTTGAAATTTTCCAATATAAACAAGCAATAGCATGTTCTTCCCTGTGCTTCTGAATCGGCTCTGTCAGGGAGAAAATATCTATAAATTGTTTAATTCAAAATATTAGAGAAAATAACCAATTGAAATTTAGCTCCAAACTGTTTTCATGTTTCCTGCACATAGATGCGGAGATGTGTTCTCTTAATTCTCTGCATTTGTGGGATTTGTGCACGTGGGGAAACTTAGGAGAACCAAGCATTGAGGGTCAGGGTTTCTGTTGGCTCTGCAGCCTCTGTCTCACAGGCTGCTCGCCTCTCCCTTTCCACCATTGTCCCCATTGAGTCAGTCTGCATCTAAAGGGAAGGGAGCAGTGTGCTCCTGAACCAGGTCTGGCTGGGGCCCGGCTGGATGGGGAGAAGCAACAGACCAGGCCTGGCCAGGCCAGGGCACAGCTAGCCGCCATCGTGGGCACAGGCACAGGTGCTGCCTAGCGCACCTGGTGCTCTTCCTGTGTCACTTAACTGACAGGTTTTGAGGTGTAACATTTGAGTCAACTTTAAATCTCCTCTTTTATAATCAAAGTAAATTTTTTTAACTTGGAGGAATTACATAAAATCTTGAGTCAGAACATTTAAATACATTATTTAAAGTATTAAGTATTCTAGGCGTTTGACCAATATATTAGCATTTTTCACTGAAGTATGTACCTAGTTAATTTACTGTTAACTAAAATAAATGTGTGGTTTAATTAATTTAGTTTCAAGATAAAGTGCTGGATCAAGCCTTTGTTGAGTTCAGCCAGTGGGTTTATGAGCAGAAGTAAGTATGTGACCCATGTACTTGGACTTGTAGCCTAAGAGCAGCTAGACTAGCACTTGTGTCCAGAAGCTCAGGGATAATGCCCCTGAGAAGAAGGATTTGTAGCAACAGATTATGTTCACATCTGAATACCTGCCTTAAAACACTTAGGAGTTTTCTGTGCTTGTTAAGGAATGAAATTCTAACAACATCTTTAAAAAAAAGAAAAAAAAGTGTTTGCGCTTTTTTGATCCAGGTACTTTTAGTGTTTACCAAAGAAGATAACCAGTGTAACGGATTCTGTAGGGCATGTGAAAAAGCAGGGTTCAAGTGTACAGTCACTAAGGAGGCTCAGGCTGTCCTCACCTGTTTCCTGGCCAAACATCATGACATCATCATCATAGACCACAGAAATCCCCGGCAGCTGGATGCAGAGGCGCTGTGCAGGTAAGCCGGAGACTCGGGCCTAAATGGTCCCACTGGCATTTGTGACACTAATGCAACCCAGAGATATGTTCAGTTAAATTCAGTGTCCTTTAAGTGGCCTCCCATGCATGTAAAAAGAACAAGACATTACATTAGAACATCATTATTTCAAGCTCTGGTCTTGATCTCTTTTGGTTTGCTTTGCTTAAATCGGTAAGAAAATATGAATGAGAACCATTAAGAATTAAGATGAAACCCAATATGTAGTTCACCTTAACTGTCAGCTGCATATTACTGCAACAAGTTATTACAGTTTTCCAGATGTTTGAAAATTGCCTTCTAATGTTAGGTGAATGTACTTTGTTTATAATACTTGCAGATTATCAATAGCATGAGAGAATTCTGGGTAGCAGACATAAATCTAAGAAAAGTACTTTTTAAATAAAGTTATTTGCCACTCGTGAATGCAAAGGAAAGTGAAACATCTGTTTTTACTTAATAGAAAACTTTATTTGGGGGAACATGAATCACCCTTTTAATATAATGTAAATTTTCATAACATTAATTTTAAGGGCATTTAAAATCTTGCCTTTAGGAGATAGAAAAGACTTAAACCAAATATAACAAGGGTTAAAAAACTGAGATCACAAGAAAAAGGCATGCTATTGAAAGGGTATTTGCAGAGACACGGTGATTTCCATGCACTAGTCTCCTTGGTGGTGAGCACCCACCTTTCTTTCCGGTAGTCAGACGAGGTGATTCACCCGACCCAGACCCTTTCCTGTAGAGCTTCCCCTGTGGTTTTGACCTGTTGCCTGCCTTGCTGGCTGTGTTCTTCTCTGGTTTCTGTCTGGCTGATTGCACTAAGCCATTGTCAGTGTAGCTCAGATTTGTTTGACGTGTTGCCTGGCCCATCTGTCACCTGGCACATCCGTGAGGGATTGTGGCCCAGGAGATGTGGAGGGCGGCCCAGATCCTGTGCTCGGCTCTCGCCCTGACCAGCTGCTTGCCTTTGGGCGACTCTGCTGTCTCTGGGATGTGTTTTCTCAGCTGTAAATTTGGAACATTTGGTTTCCAAGAGCCTCTGTTTCTAACATTGGATGGATGTCACTCAGAGGAATGGAAGAAACTATCTGAGGTCCGTGGTGCTTGGTGGTCTGGGTGGGATGCTGCAAGGCAGGAGAAGATCTACGGGAGGCCAGAGAGCCCAACAGAAATGGAAATGAGGTGCCAAGGAAAACTTGGCCTCTTTCGCTGTCTTGTCCATGCCCAAACCTAGCCGCAGGTATGTGCTGGACGATGGAAATTTGTACTTGATTACGCTGGGTCATCCTGTGTCATAAAAGAAAGGCTAAGGTGTGGTAGTTAGGATCCACCTTTTTTATTTTGGTAAAATGTACGTAACGCAAAATTATGCTCCACCTTTTAAGGGAATAATCTACTGTTACACATTGTGGGAATATTCTAAACAAATAGGGTTAATTCATTCAGCAAATTTTTATTGACATGTGAATAAAATTTTATGCAATTTCAAAATAAGGAACGTGAAGTGGGTTGCTTACCATGTGGTTTAGAGCAGCATAGACTGTCTCATATGTGCATAACGTGTCCTCTACAAAGTCCCCACCACCTTCCTTCTAGTCTCCGCTGGGGCTTAGGGTTTCCCAGGGGAAGACTTGACTTCCAGAAGGCCTCCTTCCTTCACGTGAGCCCCTTTGCCCAGATTTGACCCACGATCTCTGGGCCAGGTCCAATCCCTTCCCCAGGTTGGCACCATTTCAGGCTAGGAATTGTCTCTCTGAATGGAGCCTCCTCAGAATGGGGTTCCATATTGCAGCCTAATCAAGGTGCCTCCCATCATAGCTCTTACAAGAGTTCACACTCGGTGTCTAAGCAGAGCAGTCACCTCCCCTGTGCTAGCCAGAGAGCAGACCTCTGCAGATGCACCCCAGTCACGTTCCTTCCTGATGGCCGTGTCACAGGCCTAGCCAAGAATCTCAGGTCTTCTCACCAGCTCTGTTCTGCCCTATCATCTCTGTCCTGTTGGTTGGGGATTGTGGGGAGGGGGCTTTTGCCATTGGTAGTGAGTATCTTTCTAAAGATAAGAGCAGGCCTCATCTTTTTTCTGATTTCTTGAACTCTGCCTCCCTAATGATGATGCCAAGTCGTTTCTTTTTAGTTTTCATGAATTCTAAGATAAAGGATGTTATTTTTCAGCCCAGGTTCTTGACATTTCTGTTTCCTACATAGTTCTTCCTTCTTCCAGACCAGAAAAAGTCAGGAGTACACACTGCCTTTTTATACAGCGTTACACCTCCTGTGCCGGACCGGCTTGTCTCCAAGAAATGAGGTCTCCCCTCCCACTCTGTCTCCAGTCCAGGGCCCTCGCTCCTATCCCGAGTCGGCTGTCCCCAGAATTCCTTACTGAGCTCACCTGATGGTAGCCTACTTGATATCACACCGCTCAGATCTCTGTTTTTCTTCTAAAATGAAAGCTGGTTTGAGATGGCTGGCCGCATACTTAAATTTGCCTTTTCTCCCTCTAAATCTTTGTGATATGATAGAAATACAAACCAAGAAGTACAGTGTCCTAAGAAGTCATGGAAATGCCATTTGTGAGTCCATGCTCTCATTCCCTGTTTAAAATTGGTGCGAGGGTGAGTGAGGATTAGCCAGCGGGCTGGGAAAGTGAACGGGCCCATCTGTGTGAGTGTGTGCCATGCAGTCACCCTGCCATAGCTTAGGCGTCCCTTCCCATGGGCCCTTCTCTGGGACAGTGAGCTTGGCCGTTCTCCAGGCAGGGAGATCATGGCTGGGCTGGGGATTGGTACCTGGTCTGCGAGCTCTGCAGTGACCCGTCCAGAGGACCCTTCCAGTAGAGCCATGCAATGCTCCTTAGGTTGGCTTCCTCTGGAGAGGAGAGGCAGATGGAAGCTAGAGGGGTAGAGTGGACCCTGGGAAAAGCAGACGTGTGTGTGTGTGTGTGTGTGTGTGTGTGTGTGTGTGTGTGTGTGTGTGTGAGAGAGAGAGAGAGAGAGAGAGAGAGAGAGAGAGAGAGAGAAATGTGAGCCACATGACCCATGAAAGACTGGTCCCTAGAGCTGCCTTTTCATCCCTGAGCCACTCCTCTACCCTAGATCTAGTCTGCATCCATCGTTAGACTCGAAGCTTTTCTCAACCTGAGTTCCATGAGAAAGTTAAACCTCTGCCCTAAGGCAAGGGTGGGCACAGGGGAACATACTCTCACCCTTTCACTTAGGTACGTACTGACTATGGCTGCTTTCATGCCACAGTGAGAACTGAGTAGTTGTGACAGAGTTTGTATGGCTTGCAAAGCCTGAACTATTTACTATCTGTCTGGTCTTTTGCAGGAAGTTTGCCCAAACTGAGGCGTCCTTTGTATATGATCAATGAATGTCTCTCTTGCCTGTGTTGTGTACCATCCTCGGGAGAATTGAGAAATAGTTGCTCAAGTCATTTTCTGTGTTCTGTGAGTCAGAAGTGTTTCTCTTTCTTGAACTAACAGAACTGAAGTAAGGCAGTACGTGCCCGCTGTTCTCTGTCCCTCCCTGGACACATTCTCCAGCAGACCAGCACACCTCTGACTTGGTTGGGCAGTCTAAGTGCGGTCCCCTCCTTCTGAGTCTCCCAGGGGAGTGAGCGGCCTTCCTTCAGTCCCAGGGCCGAGCTCCTCCCCTTCCTGTGGCCTGGTCCTTCTCCTTCCCCCAGTGTTAGCTGAGTTCAAAGCCATTGCGTTCTCCAGTGCAGCAGTTTCTTTTCTTTCTCCCACTCATCCATGTCATGTTTATTTCTGTTCCCTCTGATCTCTTGGCTGGGTTTCAATTCCCCAGGTTCCCCCGGGAGCTGCTTCTCCAGCGAGTTGCTTTACTCCCTGGGGAGCCTCCCACGCCTGTGGGGAATGTCCATGGTGCACTGTCTCCCTTCTTGACTTTTCTGTCAGGTGCTGATTCTCTTATTTGGGGTTGATAAGAATACCTTGCATTTCCTAGGTTGGAATTTTTATTGTTACTGTTTTTGCCTACGTTCTACCTAGGAGCTCTTCTTTGTTTGTACTGCTCAGGGTACAGTGGAGAGCCAACCCTTGGTTTGTCATTCCACTGTAGTCAGGGCCATCCATTGTGGGGATGCACATGAACTTGCATTCTCTTTGATCAGAAGAGACAAGTGACCCCTCACATCATCCACCTGAAAGCACTAGGTTAACAAAGACCAGCACAAGTAGAAGGCCCATCATCTCAGCCAGCTGTTAGTCACACCCCATCATTATTAGGGTCACCACAGTCCACCGGTTAGGAGTTTGTCCCCAAAAGGGAGAAAGATCAGTAGCCAACAAGGTGAGTCCAGACTGGGAAGGGAGCTTTTTCTCCCCTTTCTGCCTCTCCCCCAACTTTCATTGTTCTACCAAAATTGTCTAAGTGTATTTATTCTTTTAAGAATTGTTTTTATTTTAAAATTTGGGTTTTTTTATAGGTCTATTCGAGCATCAAAATTCTCAGAAAATACAGTTATTATTGGTGTAGTACGCAGGTAAGCTTTCATTTTTTTGAAATGAAATTCAGGTGTCAATGTAATGCTTGCTCTTAACAGAGGCCTGAGTGACAGCTCGCAGGCTGTGACCGCACCCCCCCCCCCCCCCGGTTTAGTTTGGCCTTTTCTTCTTTCTTCTTTATTTTCTTTTGCTTCACCATCCACCAGTTAACTTCATGGCAGGAGTTCCTACCCGCATGCTTGAGTTTGTGATTTTGGACTGTCTTTCAGTTTAGAAATAGGCAAGGAGCATCCCATTCCTGAAAGCGTAGGTGTTTCCCGGGGCTGCCTTCCTAGGCTCTTCTAAGTCCAAACGCCTACAAAGAGTTAACTATACATAAATGGAGGAAATCTTCCATTCATCCTTAACTTGGGAGTAAGGAAGGATACAAATATTTGTACTGCCCTGAGGAGAAGGGCAGTATTCAAATAAATGTTATTTAGCATCTATATTTATATAGATAGGAGAAATGCTTCTGTGCCCTTGAAACTATTTTCCTGAGCTTTGGCCGGTAGAAGAGAACTTTTTATTCTTTATTTTTTTTATTGAAGTCACACTGGTTTATAATATTATATAAGTTCCAGTGTGCAGCATTGTAATTCAACATCTGTATATATGACATGTGCCTCCTACCAGGCTCTAGATTCCTTCTGTCACCACACTGCTCTTCCCCTTCACCTGTTTCACCCTCCCTCTGGTGTTTTTGTTTTTTTTTTAATAGCCTCGCAGACAAAAATAGGAAAGGATTTAGTTTAAATTAAAACGTTGCCATATCAGGGCCGGCCGAGTGGCGCGATGGTTAAGAACTGGCTTGGGATGCCAGAGGGCCCTGGTTCGGATCCCACATATGAGGGCCAGTGACACTGCC